AAGTTAGTTTACATCACAGTTGGTTTAGCAAAATAATTTATTAAGTGCCTCCACTTAATAGCTAAACTATTGCTTATGAGAACAAAATTACCTATATCACTTTGTATATTATATTCTCCCCTCACAAGTGGTTCGGGGTCAGGAACCAAATAATTTTATCTTATTATTATTGATGTGCGGTGTATATTTTGATTAGCACCATGACACACAAAGATGGACGCTCAAAGTTGAGGAAACAAGTTAGTTTTTCTAACATGAGGGGCAGACATGATAAACACTTGAGAAAAAGTTACGTGGAATGGATTATCATTTGTATATATAGATCCTCGAATATCATAATATGAACTTGAAATTCATAAAAAAGATAATTCATTTGCAATATATTGCAAAGCATGTCATACGCATTTGGTAACCCAAATAAAGTAACTATATTCTCATTGCAAATGCTCATATTAAGTCCTAGAAGGACAAAGTCTATGGTACGCTTAAAGCGTATAGACAGATCGGTTTCAAATAAACTTCTTGATAAAGAAGATGAGCAAATGATCAAAATGATCATAATAAAGAAGGCAAGTGATCTAGAAGATCACATGACATAACACTTCATAAAATCTAATGAGAGATTCAGGTACCTGAATATATGAATGAAGAGATCTCTATGTTATGTCTTTATGAAAAAAATGTTGGAATCGATATAAAATGTTCGTCGATGACATCTATCATAGCGCAAAGTATAGATGAGGATCTTAAGTCTATCGAATATAGACACAAAAATTTTGGCCAAATAGAAGAGACGCAATTCGAATAGAATTGGTTTAATATGAAAGACATGTAGTTTTGGACATGTAGTTCAAATACTTGAAAGTATAAAGTCAATGGTATGTGCAATCAGTTTCCGATATCTTATATGTCTAGCATGACATAAAAACTTGATATGCATCTAAAGTCTATTATATGGCTTATATGACTTAACTTATATGACAATCCATGAAGGATTTAAGTCGCTTAAAGCATATACAATTCTTGGTCTTGAAGTACCACATCCTAAGTGCAATTTGTGCACATATGTATCTTGCTATAACTATAAGCATGATAATGTGATAGCGAGAATACCTCTATGGAGATATTGAAAAGGCCATTCTACGGAAGTTTATGAAGACATTACATCTCTATCAAGAATGATGATTTCAAGATGCAATATATTCATTCAAGTTAATATGGTTGATTTGTTTATCAAGTCTCTACCAAAGATCGTTTGAAGATGGTGCACAAGATTGGAATGCAAATGCTTAAATATGTGAATTGATGCTCTCATCAGGGGGAGTTAATGCGCGTTGCACTTTTTTTTCCCTTACAAGGTTTTGTCCCACTGGGTTTTTCTTACAAGGTTTTTAACGAGGCAACCAAAAGGCGTATTATTAGATATGTGTACTCTTTTTCCTTTTCAAGAATTTTTTTACCATTGGGTTTTATTTAGTTAAGGTTTTAACGAGGCACATTATCTGTTGAATAGACATTCAAGGGGGAGTGTTATAAATAGAATTCTATTTAAGGTGAATGTCTATAGTAGAGAGATTCTAGGGTTTATTGCTTGGTGGCTAAGTCAATCTCTCCCTATAAATAGAGGGTTCTATTCCATTGTAATTCATCCCATATCAATAAGAATTCCCTTCTCTCTACTTTTCTCTGCAATACTCTTCTTCTTTTTTTATTGTTTCATAACAATTATCCTATAGTTAATTAATTATTAGGTGATACCCCGCTGCCCGGTAATTAACCAATTACCCGCATAATTAAGAATTATTTCAAATTACCTAATATACTATTCATTTTATATATACGCTTTATATATATATATATTCTCTCAACTTATAATTTTCCTAATCTCATATAAAGAGTACAAATTTACGTACACTTAATTCTTAAAATGGTAAAAAGATAACATTCTTTTCTCATGAGAAAAAAAATAATTTCTATTTTTACAATAAAGAAAATCTCATAAACTTTCTCATATCAAGCGTATAATTTAAAGCATATTTCAAAGTAGGAATATTAATAACTATATAAAATTATATTTTTCAAACTATTTTTAAAAAAAAATTCCACTCAAAATACCATATCAAATATATATGACGGTATCAAGGTTGTAAAATTTACGGGGTGTTATAATAACCTAGTCACGAATCCTCTATAATCTCATGAATGGTCTTAATCCCTTCGAGCTCATATGGATTACTACAACTTATCCTAATATTAAATTACGGGATGTAACAAAATGGCCATCCCGTCCCATCCCGTGTTCCGTTTAACATGTGCCCATCCCGTTTAAAATGAAGTGGGACGGGACGGGACGGCCCGTCCCGTTGGACAGCCATACTTTGCTCCGAGGGATCCGAAACTCACCCAAGCCACTCGGGACCCCGTCGAAAGGTACTAACAGATCTGTAATCATAATACGAACTTGCTCGAATTCTCGAAATGCGAAAAACAATAAAGAAACCAAGAATCATACCCCGAAACCAAGAATCATACCCCAAAACCAAATTGAATCAAACTTTGAACTTTAAGTTTTCCAAATTATCTGAATGCGCCAAATCATATTTAGACTACTCGGAATGACGTCAAATTTTGCATGCAAGTCTTAAATGGCATTATGAAACTATTCATGTTCTCGGAATTCCGTTTGGAACTAGATATCACCAAAACCCGCTCCAAACCAAATGTAAAGAACTTCAAAATTCTCCAAGAATCAACTTTCACTATTAGGCGCCAAAATGCTCCCGGGTCATCTAAAACCTGATCCGAATATCATACGAACCTATTGAACCCGTCAAATCCCGATTCCGAGGTCGTTTACTCAAAAATATTGACCGAAGTCAAACTTGGTGTTTTAAGCCAACCTTAAGGAACCAAGTGTTTCGATTTCAACCCGCACTCTTCCAAATCCCAACTAATCATCCCCACAAGTCATAAATCAGTAAAACAAGTACGAAATTTTTTATTTAAAGGAACGAGATTCTAGAAAGTAAAACAACCAGTCGGATCGTTACATGAACTTTTTCCCTTTCCTAAAAGAAGCTTCTCATCTTTGTTGCATTCCTCCTAGAGTAGTTTGTCCTAATTATTTTGCATTATTACCATAACCCCAAGTTTAGGGTGCACTTTAGTTTATGAAATTAAAATTTTGCTTAGCTTGTTCTCGGATCAAAGCTGCATATTGTAATATGAAATTTATCATTATTAACAGTGTTGACAACATAAATCTGGTAAGTTTGTTAGCATGAGCTGCTCAGGAACCTAATGTCAGGGGCGGATGTTGTGTGTTACTGACGGGTTCAATTGAACGCATAACTTTCGATACGGAATAAAAATTTATATATAAAAGTTTATTAAAATTGCAAAAATAGTATATGAACCCATAATTTAAAAATATAATGAATTAATGCTAAAAACTTTAAAAGTTGAAGCCATAAGGTTTAAATCATACCTGTTAATCGGGCCGGGCTGGCCCGTTCACAGCCCAGTTCGACCCGGTCAGCCAGGGTCAGCCCTGTATTGTAGGGGCTGGGGACGGGCTGGGGAGGGTTGGGTAGGGAGCCGGGCTTGAACGAATAAAATTTGGTAACTGGTGCAACGAAACCCGGTTAGCCATGTTACCCGTTATCGAGATCGCTGCATTTTTTTTAAAAAAATTCTGGACCGTTGCCAACGGTCAAATTCAAAAAACCGTTGGGCAACGATCATTTTTTGCAAAAATGGCCATTTCGGCCTACCCCCTTAAGAAAATAGCCCCTTCACCCCCTAATAATTGATAAATTATAATATTAACCTTTTAAAAACTATAAATAGCCCCCCTTCTTCTTCATTTTTTTCTCACAGTTTACTCTTTTATTACTCTAGTTCTCTCTCAATTCTCTCTTGATAATGTTGATTATTGCTCTTAAATTCTCAATTACTTATTATTTCAAGTTTCATCAAATATTTACTTTAGTCACTACAAAATTATAACTATCAAATATCAAGTATTCAAGTGAAGTGTGGTATCAAGTATCAGTCTATCAACTGAAGTTTGATATCAAATTTAGTGTGGTATCCGGAATCCCGGTACACTCGTTCCATCTAAGCTCTTCTTTGGTGTACATTTTTATTTTATTATTTAGAATTATTAATTTAATTTCGTAATTTAATTTTCATAATGGATATATTAAGAGCAGCCAAAAAAGCGTATACTAGTATGAGTGGTAGTAGTAAGAGTAAAACTTCTAAAAAATCAAGAGGCGGCGATGGTTCTTCTAGTAGCTTTACACACATTTCTGAAAGTTCACCTTAAAATTTAAATGTAGATTATAAGCGACTTCAAGAAAATTATGGTATAGATGATGATTTAGATGATAATTTAGATGATACTCAATCACTCGATAATCTTGAAACACCGCCAGCTACACCTGGTAATGCTAGTCAAACTCAAAATATTAGAGGTGGGGGTCGTGATAATACAGGTAGGCGTCCCCTCCCTATTAAGAGGAATCAAAGATTAAGAAGTAAGTATTGAAATTTTTTTGAAAGACTAGAAGAAGATAATAATTATGTAAGATGTCAAATTTGTAAGGAAATTTATAAACATCAGACTGGAGGTAAGGGAGGGGGAACGGGTTAACTTGGTAGGCGTGTACATGAGTTCCTTCCAATCCAGTCTTAATGGCTTCATTTTCATTTTTGGTGAGTAGCGGACTTTTCTCTATGATTAACATGTATGAGTATGCCTATATTATTGGACTAACATAAGCCTATCACGTGGTAAATAAAATGTAGAGAAAAATGTTGAGAATCGTCGCGTTCCATTGAATGATTATACCAAAACACCAACCACATTGATTTTCAGATGCAGAAGGGAAACCCCAACTCCTCATAAGTTCATAACTTGGCTCAACCAGATAAAGACATGTTTCTTGAAAATATAGCGTTGTTTCTTGAAAATATAGCGTAATATACAAATCATGAAGGATTAACAAGGTCCTTTTAATAACAAAAAATATCATCAACAAAGGCCTAAAGAGTGCCTAAAGAGTACAATCATGTCAACTTTATTTCTGTAAAACTGACCTTCCACTTATATTTGACAATCATAGATCCATCAGCCATAACAAGATGTTTTGCATTCAGATCAAATTTCTGGAATATGACCTTTTATTGTTGAAATCAACATAAAAAAGAGAAGCAAAATTCATGCGGTATGACTGTATCAGATTCTGCAAAGGTTGTCGTTCAATACCTGATTCGCCACAAAAATTCAAAAATATATTATAAATAATATTTAAAGGCAATACATACATACACCAACACGCTTGAAAAATAATACAAAAGGAAACATCAATTTGAGACAAGAAGTAAAGCATTAGTACCTTCACAGCTCTAGGCCCAAACTCACATCCAAATTGAGGTGTAATAATATGTCGACACTACTTGCTCAAAATTCTGCATCCGCCATTGCAAGTATTTTATAGTGTTGCAACATAAAGAAAAATATTTACACTCCAAAATAACCATAGAGACAGTATTCATTGTTCCGCAGCGAATCATCCATGTGCATCAGGAGCTCAATCCAGAGAGGAGAAAAAAAAAAGATTTAAAGAAAAACAAAGAAAGATCACGACACAAGTCACAATCAAAATGGCAACAGTAGGGATAGAAATAAGAGAACAATAGTCGATGAAATTCTTTAGGCTCTGCTTTAGTGTAAATATATCCAGACAACAATATATAAGAATGCTTCTAGCTGATTTGCATTTTGGCAGACTGCAGTGGAAGTCTATTTGAAACCAAATGCAGTTTTTATTTTGGAGCTCATCCTACTTGAAACAAAATGCAGGAGACACCTCTGTTAAAGCCAGTGAGGCAAATGTAGTAGCAAGCAGAAAGGTTGATTCATTGCAGAGTGCCTCTAGTATCAGAATTGGCAAAAACCCCTATACAAAACGATACATGATCAGCTGTCAAGTATTTTAAGAAATCATGCATTTTAGTATCAAGAATCATACTTTAACAAATTTAATCATCTGCAATAATAAAACTCATGTGATAAACATATGATAAATCATTAAAAACATCTTTTGAAATCTATTCATTTCCTGTAGGCCATAAACATAATCTTATACTGGGGAAGTTCCTATTAGATGCTGATATACATATATGCCACGTATACATTGTGACGTCTGATCACTCACCCCATCAGCTAGGACTTTGTTTACCTGTAATGTCATACAAGTACACTAAGGTATACTAGAAACACCAAACTTGTGCCACTGCATTGTTGTTACACTCATAACCTGCCATCGATATGGTTCGGCCTATATTCTGCGCACCAGCACATGTGGTCTCTATATAAACTCTGTTACATCTTGGGACGCGAATACTAGTTATATAAAGGATCCTCCCAAAACTTATCATCTCATACTTAAATGTAATGTTGACTCTATTGGCCTCAACTTACTTAATAGTAACAATATCATGTGATATGTTCGAGCAATCATTCTTGATACAACATAAGTCATGGATAAGACATATAAGTATCATCATGGATCTCATTTTGGAACAAATAGTAGCTATGAAATCATTTAATATGATGTTACTCACACAAGCTCATCCCTGCATGCACGAGTTCACAAAACGCTTTAAACACTTGCATGCATTCTATCAAACACTTGGGAAGGCATGCAATTTAGACAAAATACAATTAGAGGGGTAGTTTTCACTTGCCTCAAATCCGAGGTTAAAGACTTGACGCAAACTTTTTTATATCCGTACCTTGGTCAATCTATACAACATTACATATAAGGGATGAATCACTTTTAAAGACGAGGGATTTCAAATCAATGCTACGCTAGTTAAATAGCATATTTCCTATACTTATATTGTATGACTAAATAAAATGTAAGTACATAAATGTTGTGACTAACAAGATACTTTTATATTTTAAATGAGAATAATGATTTTTCCAAAATAGATCTTCTGAATAAGGAAAGGGGCAATACTATAAAGACTTACTGGTGGGGAAGCGCTTGCACGTTTCCAAATACAATGTCTTGTAATGAGATTCAAAACATGGGATATTCTTACTCAGAAGCTTAGAAGTGGTTGGTTCTTGTTTCTAATCAGATCAAAACTTGTGAGACCCAACAATTTGCATTCAATCCTAATCTCTTATCTGGGGCTCCCTTGTTATGCTAAATTTAAAGATAAAAAGATATGGCAGGGAATCATTGATAAGATGGAGAAGAAATTATCTCCATGGAAGAAACAATATTTATTCTTTGGAGGTGGATTGACACCGGTAAAGAGTGTTTTGGATGGTATTCTCGACTTATTTAATGTCTCTTAAACCCATTCCTATTAGTGTGGAGAAAAGAATCAATAAGTTAAGACGTGACAGCCTATTGGAAGGCAACCCGGAGAAAAAGAAAATGCATTTGGTTAGTTGGAAAAAGGTGATGACTTGTAAAAGAGGTGGAGGCTTGAGTGTGATGAATCTTAAACTCCAAAGAGCTTACTTTGTAAGTGGTTATGGAGACTGAACTATAGCAAGAAAGAACTTTGGGAAGATATTATTTCCACTAATTATAACATCAATAACAATAACAAAAAACCCAGTGTAATCCTACAACCCGTGCTTTGCCTAACAAAGTAAGCTCTATGAAAAAAGAAGAAGCAATCTTTGGTGTGATTTGCCGCTGATAAGATTGAAAGTGGGAGATGGAAAGTTAATCAGATATTGGATCGATCACTAGCTTGATGTTGGAGTGCTCAAAGACCAATTTCCTGATTTATACAACTTAGTCGCCAGTAAAGATGTTGCGGTAGCTGATTATGTCTCTAACTTTGGATGGCAGCTTCATTTAAAAGAAATTTGGAGTTGGGAAGTATTACTCTGTTGCTGGAAATTTTGCTATATGTGGTGCTAGATGACAAAAATGTAACGACCCAAACCGATGGGCCGCGACGGGCACCCGGTACCTTACTCAACCGAGTACCAACGTAACGTATCTTTCATATTACATCATCATATACACGCGACATACGGGCTTAATAGACCAACATTATCATTTACAAACTCAAAACAAAGGCCGACAAGGCCGTACAATCTTTCACGTATATGACATATGTCTACAAGCCTCTAAGAGTGCATAAATGTCATAAAGGACGGGTCAGAGTCCCTACATACCAAACAATACACGTCTAAATCATACTAACCAAACAAGCAACCCCGAAGCAAATGGAGCGCACCAACATCTTCCACTGAGCTGATAGCCTACTTGGAGGGCTCTTGATCTGTCTATCGGGACCTGCGGGCATGAAACGCAGCGTCCCCAGGCAAAGGGACGTCAGTACGAATAATGTACCGAGTATGTAAGGCACGTAAATAAATACATAAGAGACNCGTAACTTATTACTGCGATGCATAATATCACCATAATTTAATACTGCGGGACGTAATATTTCGGGGCGTAACAAAAAAGAGACTCAAATATGGCTAGTATGTAAATTTGAAACTTTCTCTGTCTATTGGAAACAACCTCTCTATCCTCATAAAGTAAGATCTGTGTACACACTATCCTTTCCAGACCCCACGGTGTGGGATAAGACTGCGTATGGTGTTGTTGTTGTTGTCTCAGTGAGTAGCTGTTACAATTTATTTTTGAAATAGTCAGGAGGACGGGAGAAGGAATGGCATTGGAGATCAATATGGAAGCCTTACTCAAGATAAGCTACAATGGAGAGGGATTTCATTATGCAACAGATGCCTCCCTTGTAGTAACTCTGGAGGATAGCAACAACAACAACAACAACCACCCAGTCTAATCTCACAAGTGGGATTTGAGGACACCTACCCTGGGGGTTAGAGGACGACAACTACCTATATTTGCATTGTAGCTTCACTTGGTAGATCTAATCTATTTTTTTTATCGGTTTGGAAGTCTGTTGGGTGATCCACAAGATGTGAAGCAGCTCCTTTTATGCTGGTATGGGCAGAAGGTGGACAGTGGATGCATACAGATTTGGAGGACTATTCCTATGTGTATCATCTGGACTATTTGGCTTGAAAGAAACATGAGATGTTTTGATGGGAAGGCTGAGCATATCTCTTTTGTAAACTTTAAAAGTCTGCAAACTCTATACTTTTACTGCAGGAGGAACAAACTTTATAGGATGAGTTTTTGGAGTCATTGCTATGTTATGTGTAAGTCTTATTTCCTCCTCCCTTGTTGTTTACAGTCATTTTTCCAACTAACAATACTCACAGTATCAAAATTAATTGCAGGAGATACCAGAAAGAAGCTTCAACCGCAAGAAGCCCCCAACAGTCACTCTGGTAACCCCCAACAGGATACTAGACTCATATAAATCCAACAGCAACAAAATTCGAACTCAAAACCTGATCAAGAGAGATGATAGAATCTGGTCCCAGGCTATTTTTCTCCAAAACGTGGTCCTTTGATCAGAGGACTGAAGGATTGCATATAGGTATTCGTAACACACAGCGGATGACAATAACAATCCTAGGCAGATTTTTTCGTGTCTAAAATTTATTTACGTGTTAATAGATCGGATCTAAGACATACCTGGTGAAGAAGTCTTGTTTCAAATTCTTCGATAGTGCGAAGACTCTATGTGTATCCACACCGAGACCGATCCTTGCTATCAACTTTTTGATCAACGAAACCCGCGAACAAATTGAACGAAAAATATTGTGCTGAAATTTTTCTCAAAAATCTCAACTCAATGTTACAAGAACAAGAAACACTTTTCTTGTAATTGTATTTTCTCTCTTGGCTTTGTATTGCACTCTCACTTTCACAAAGTATTTTTTCTCTTCTCAAGAATTAATCATAATGCGGCAAATTTTCTCCATCACCCTTTATATAGCACCACTTATAAACCTTTTTCCTATTTGGGTGAGGTAATGATTTACGTAGGATAAAAGTTTTATTCCAAAAATAAACTTTATGGAATTTTATGGAAAACAGGAAAATCACGTCTCAATTGAAACGTGACTGCCGAGTCTTTCATGTGAATCCTCCAACTCAAAGTTGGATTCTCTTATTTATGAACTTTTTATATTAATATAATATCTTCCTATTGAAAATATTAATCCCATTCCAAATAGGATGAAACTGCCCATTACATGTTAATAATCCAATTCAAAAATGAATTTATTAACAAGCCTTTATTAATATTCTATTTTATATACATCTCTTCTATAAAATAATATTAATTATATGTATCACATATATTTCAACCAAGAGATATAATTTAATTTCTATTCCAAATAGAAACTTCAATTTGTTCACAATATTAATTATATCCTCTGTGCTAGCAAAGAATATAATCATATTTCATTTGGACTAATAACTAAATCTATTTGACTAATTAAATTCCTTAATTTAATTATCAAATAATAAGTTAATTAATCCTTTCGCAAATATCAGAACACTTGTAAGTGTGCGACCCATAGGTTCAATACTAAACTGGTAGTAAATTGACCACATCAATATACTAATCAAAGGTGGCGTCTAGCAACACTCCTTAATGACCGGATAGCATGAAGTATACAATTTACTCTCAAGAACCAGTAGAAGAATAATGTAGTAATTCCTTCTGTCCTTATAACTCTAGATCACCCTAGGATATGGTTCAACTGTCAAATCCTAATAGGCGACCAACTATGTGTTCATGTCAATTATAATCGACCATTGAATAACCTAAGAAACGCTTTTCTTCTTTCATTCAATTGCCCTGGCCAAGGTCTTAATTTGATCGTTTATAATTCATGACAACATGAAGCTTAAACTCATTACCAAGAGTTGACAGATTCCATCTTGATCAATCACTAATTCTACAAGTATTCAATCGTACCCAATATCCTTTCAACTATGGCCCTAGGGCCATAGGTGTCTAGTATTAAAGCACA